GGCTAAACTAACTTGCTTGTTTCAGTTTTCTTTTTCACTTTTTATCAATTTTGTTGGTAGTAAAGCAAACTGATAATACTCAATTACCCTGTTATAATCTCCTACCAATGCAGCACTTCCGTTTTCCTAGAGATTAACTTGGCTGGATTGACGTTTGTTTCTTGTCCCCAAAAGTCGTAACTCGCGAATTCGTGGCGCGTAATCATTACTTCGGCTGGCCGAAGAATCTTTGATGAAACACTGTGAAAATTTTCAGCAAACAGGCTATTTTAGTTCTCTTTTTCACTTTTTATTTTAATTACCCTGTTTTAACCTCCTATACCGATGCAGCACCACCGTTTTCCTAGAAATTAATTTCGCTGGTTTGACGTTTGTCCCTCGTTCCAAAAAGCCCTACTGACTCGCGAATTCGTGGTGCATAATCATGATTTCGGCTGAGGGAAGAGTCGTTGCTGAAAAGCAAAATTCCAGTTGTAATTTGCTAATACCAACGCAACTGATAATATTTAATTACCCTGTTATAATCTGTTATAAACACTGTGAAAATTTTCAGCAAACAGGCTATTTTAGTTCTCTTTTTCACTTTTTATTTTAATTACCCTGTTTTAACCTCCTATACCGATGCAGCACCACCGTTTTCCTAGAAATTAATTTCGCTGGTTTGACGTTTGTCCCTCGTTCCAAAAAGCCCTACTGACTCGCGAATTCGTGGTGCATAATCATGATTTCGGCTGAGGGAAGAGTCGTTGCTGAAAAGCAAAATTCCAGTTGTAATTTGCTAATACCAACGCAACTGATAATATTTAATTACCCTGTTATAATCTCCTACCAATGCAGCACTTCCGTTTTCCTAGAGATTAACTTGGCTGGATTGACGTTTGTTTCTTGTCCCCAAAAGTCGTAACTCGCGAATTCGTGGCGCGTAATCATTACTTCGGCTGGCCGAAGAATCTTTGATGAAACACTGTGAAAATTTTCAGCAAACAGGCTATTTTAGTTCTCTTTTTCACTTTTTATTTTAATTACCCTGTTTTAACCTCCTATACCGATGCAGCACCACCGTTTTCCTAGAAATTAATTTCGCTGGTTTGACGTTTGTCCCTCGTTCCAAAAAGCCCTACTGACTCGCGAATTCGTGGTGCATAATCATGATTTCGGCTGAGGGAAGAGTCGTTGCTGAAAAGCAAAATTCCAGTTGTAATTTGCTAATACCAACGCAACTGATAATATTTAATTACCCTGTTATAATCTGTTATAAACACTGTGAAAATTTTCAGCAAACAGGCTATTTTAGTTCTCTTTTTCACTTTTTATTTTAATTACCCTGTTTTAACCTCCTATACCGATGCAGCACCACCGTTTTCCTAGAAATTAATTTCGCTGGTTTGACGTTTGTCCCTCGTTCCAAAAAGCCCTACTGACTCGCGAATTCGTGGTGCATAATCATGATTTCGGCTGAGGGAAGAGTCGTTGCTGAAAAGCAAAATTCCAGTTGTAATTTGCTAATACCAACGCAACTGATAATATTTAATTACCCTGTTATAATCTTTCACCGATGCAGCACCAACGTTTTCCTAGAAATAAACTCTGCAGGTTTGATGTTTGTTTCTTATTCCCAAATGCCGTAACTCGCGAATTCGTGGCGCGTAATCATTATTTCGGCTGAGCGAAGAATCGTTGATGAAACACTATGAAAATTTTCAGCAAACAGGCTATTTTAGTTCTCTTTTTCACTTTTTATTTTAATTACCCTGTTTATACCCTCCTATACAAAATTTAGGAGACGAGTACGATATAACCGAAACATATCCTTTAGAGTTTCACCAGATTTTGTTTGGTTATATAGTCAACAGCCCACCAAGGAAATTTGTCTACTATCTGAAAGTATATCTTTGACATTCGATTTTTTTTGTTAAATTTCCCTGGTAACAAGCGATCCACGAAAAAAATTTGTCTACTATCTTTAAGTGTGTCTTTGACATTCGATTTTTTTGTTAAATTTCCCTGGTAACAAGCGATCCACGAAAAAAATTTGTCAACTATCTTTAGGTGTGTCTTTGACATTCGATTTTTTTGTTAAATTTTGTTAAATGAGAGAGATCAAAGTGGTAAGCATGTTAACGTTTTCGTAAATATAAGTGTAACAATTACCCATGGCAGCTGTCTTTTAGCTCAGCACACAAGGTTTTATACATCAAAAAGAATCGCTGTGTCATTACGCACCCAAACTTCGAATACATACCTCATATAAACCAAGTGCGAGAAATAGAGAATACATGGGCGCGCATAAAGAAATTTCATATCTACAAGCAACCATGTATTATTTTGTTTATCATATCAACACAATAGCCCTTTACTGACAAGAAAAGCCGACTACATCAATGAATGAAAATAAATGAATCGACAATCCCCGAATAGCAATCGTAGAGTGCGTTGGCGCTAACTCTTAAGATGGAAAAACGCGTTGAATCATGATTTGATAAACAACAATGGTCGTAATTTTCAATTTACCAGATTCTCATTTATTGACGTTGTCCTAACCGACAGAAGAAGTCTTTCAGGTAGACGGCCAAAATCGGCCAGTGGCAAATCTTCCAGTTGTCGAGTTTCATTCTCAGCCGAGAGAAATGCTAACACCAAAGCCACTAAATATGTAACTTTCGGTTTTCCTTTTAGTATATTGGTTTCCTTCCCCTTCTAAGAAAGTTTGAACCTCACAGTCTGTCAGCGACACGGTTTTTTAGTGTTTTAGTCCTTTTAGTATATTGGTTTCCTTCCCCTTCTAAGAAAGTTTGAACCTCACAGTCTTCGAGAGAAAATTCCATATCTACAAGCAACCATGTATTATTTTAGGTAATTTAGTGTTAACAACTGAGTTGAAAACGTAAATTAGCCACCGTAAAGGGTAAAAAAGTTGACGTTTCGAGCGTTAGCCCTTCGTCAGAGCGATGTATTATTTTGTTTATCATAAAAACACAATAGGCTTTCCTCAGGGCTGGAAATCCCTGTAAAACACCGCACTTTATGTGATAAATGTACTGTAAGTTACGGACCGAGTTTTTCCGTCCGGTTACTTTAACGAGTTCATTTGTAGAAGTTTCGTAACTGAATAAATAAGGATTGTGTTGCGTTCAAAACGGAATTTCGGTAGTTTCTCAAGCTTACGAAACGTCCGTGAGTAAGAAACGATTACATACCAACCGAACAACGCTGCATTTTGTTGTTGGAAACGAACAACGTTTCCCTTTGTTGTTAGGAACGAACAACGCTTTAAGAATCTTCATGGTGTTGTCGGAAACAAAGAGCGCTTTAGTGATAAAATTTTCTCAACGTTATTGCCTAATTACAGTCTGAAATTCTGATCTTTTTAGTATTTGTTTCTTCGGGCGACTTGACTTTTTTTTTTGAGCGACATAACTAAAATTTTCGGCAACATGACTCAGGTTGCGGGTGACGTGACTTCGGGCGAAATGACTCCCGGGCGACTTGACTGTAAACCTCTCCTGATACCGTGACATAATATTAAAATAAACAAAGAGAGCTTGTAAATTTTGTATAGTGCGCAATGTAAACAAATTATGCGAAAAACATGAAAACGAGCCCTGGCATGAGCGGTTGCCGCGAAAATTCCCTTTGGGTCTGAGATTGACACCTTTGATTTATTAATTTTTACGTGGAAATACGTTTTTCTAAAGAACTCGGGTGCTTTTAAAGAATTTCAGAAATTGTTTTTTATGGAAACGTAGGATTGAATGTTTGAATTCAGTTTTGTCAAAAAAAAAAACTCGATTTTACGGCCTCTGAAGGTGGGAAGCAACGTTAAAAAAAAGCAAAAGCAAAAACAAAGAAAAAAGAAAAGTTTCTTACCCTCGATGTTTTCAAAAACGTTGTTTTCAAAAAGGTTGAACTGTCTGATACATCCCATCAATTTACGTACTAATTTTTTAATTTATCAGATTTACACATTGGCTCTTCTTTGTTTTGTGCATAGTGCACGTAAATACATATATCTATAATATTTCAATTAAAAAAAAAGCAAATCTCATCATTCTTTTGTGAATGCTTTCCCAGGCATTTCTCCTCCTTGGCTGATCAACAGACACCTTGCACGTTTTTCCGATAGGAAAAAAGAGAAAGAAAATAATCGTCCAGCTAACTTAACTCTATAAGAACTTACTTTAACAATGCTCAGATCTGTCGCCTCGAAAATGAAACAGAGATCCTTGGAAGATTTGCCCTCTTCTTTCGATGTCTATGTCACTTCAAAATTTTCATCATCTCTGAAAGAGAGAGAGCCAAAAATTCAGCTTGAGTGGAGACAAATAATCGACTGTGTTTTTAGACTTTTTGATTCATCCAAATATTTGACAACTTTGAGGTCAAATATCTCCCCTTGCCAGAAAGCTACAACACTAATCATAATTCCCCTTTATAATCCATCATTTCATCTGTGAAAACCATGAAAAAAAATCTTTGGGCACAACCGTATTTTCGTCTTGGATGTCTTTTCAAAATCTGCGACCGTGACAAGCTTCTCTCAACTCCACCTGTCACGCAATTCTGACTTTAGGCGGTCTCTTGACCAAATAAACCTACATTTTTTAGTTCTTTATACAAGATGATCGATCAAGAAAGCTAACAAATGTGAAAACTTTCGAGATTTTTTGTAGGAATGGAAAATTTTACGTTTAGAGAGATGCATGCAGGCGAAAAATTGATGGGAAAATCGTAGTGTTTATTTCTTCTGTCGTTTATTACTTTGGACAAAAGCCCTATTTCCTAAAATCCATCTGTTCAAAAGCCCTTTTTCCTTAAATCAGGAAATAGGGCTTTTGTACAAAACAAAACATTCATTAGTCTATAATTTGATCGTTTATTATCATTATCACACAGTTCACAGTAAGGAAACGCGTGCTTGTTTACGTACAAGTTCCCGTGTGTGACAGCTTCGGACCATCCCAGACCCTCATCTGCGACTTGAGACATCAGGGAGAGTGGTTATGGCCAGTCAGAGTACCCAGGCTTGTGGCGACCAGCTGGTAATTATTGGAACGTCAGAAGGAACGGCTGAAGGCACACGGGATACCCAGACAGGAAGCCACGAGATGATAGCTACTGGAGTTAAGCGTAAGGCAGTGGGACCTGCTGCATCTGCTGGTCAGCCACTCGCGAGAAGAAGAGAAGAAGAAGCAGGTGTTGGAATCGATGATGTACCCAACGCACTAGAGTTGACAGTTGACACAATGGAAAACATTCGACAGAGCGGTCAGTTTACTTAAAAGTAGTCACATTACCACTGCATTGTAAGCTTTTGAAGTAAGCTTTGGCCTTGCTATTTTTCTGTACGGTCCATTGTTCTTAACACTCATCAATCATTAGAGTCGATAATCACCAAGTTTTAACCTTATTTATTAACGCAATTGATAGCAATTAACTGAACGTTAGCTTAGACAACACGCTGATGCAACAATTTTCTGTTCTGTTATTGCTGTTCCCTCAGCTGTTTGATGGTACTTGATACTTTTGGATTGAACATAAAGTCTTTTTTAATTAAAATCACATGTTCAATTTTGATTGATTTCCAGTTATTTTTTTGTCATATTATGAATGACTCGAATAAATGGCCTTGATTTTTATTTTGTTTAAGAATCATTTGTTGTCCTACCTACATCTAAAGAACGGCAACTACTGTTGCTACTGTGTCTTTTTTTATCCTCACGCGTGAATAAGTTACGTAAACTGGGATAAGTTCCAACAATGTGGGAAACTTGGCCTGTTCTGAGACACTGTCTTACCTTTTAATGATACTACTTTTTTCCAGAATTTCAAACTAAAGTTGTACTTCCTTCAGATGACAAACATAACACAAACAACATTGTTGCGATGGCTATGGAGTTTGAAGCCAAGCACAGAGAATGTGTCCGTGTTTTAACATACACATATGATGGTCATGTCAAGGTTAAGTTGTATGTGCTTTCTGGAAAGTCTGGCATACCTGAAACATTGAAAGCTGCTGCTCAAGATTGCTTTACGGAGATGGACGTGAAACTTGAATGGTTAGATCTTTACAGGGATGCAGATGAAATTATCAAGATCAGACCTCTCGAGTATTCATCTGATATGCAGCAGGTGTTGAATGACTCTCAAGTGAATGAAATTAACAAAGTTATATCTGAAAATCTCCATGTTCTTGTCAGGCATCATAACATCACTGCTGTGCAACCCTCACTTAAAATCACAAATTATAAGCAGACGGGAACCCCTTGTATCACATTATATGTTCTGGGTAAGGGTGTCGTCCCAGATGGTGAATATCCCTTCCCAGTCACTCTTGGTTCTTATCCAGTGGATGTTGTGGACGGAATTTGGTTCAGAACTGCTGATCTTTGGGCGCCAGAAAAAGCACAGGAACAAGACGAGGTACTTTGTTTGGGAGCAAGTATTGGTGTGCAAGGAGAGGATGCAGCCGGGACCTTAGGCGCCATTGTGAAAGATGATGAAACCTCTTATGTACTGTCCTGCGATCATGTTATGAGACATAGTACAGAGCTAAAGATAATTCATCCTTCACTGAAGGATCATTTGAATTATCTGAATTACCATTTAAAAGAGTATGGAAAGTGGATTGATCTCATCATTACAATGGAAAGTCACTTCGAACTGGCAGACCAGCTCTCATTTGGCCATATTGCAGGGTTGGAAGAGTTGTCAAATAAATTTCAAGAGCTAAGAGGGATCAAAGAAACCCACCAAGACAATGCAAGGGCGACGAGGAGGAAATTGGAGGCTGTAAAGCTGCATGAAGAAGCTTTTGAGAGAGGTTTGACGCCACCCAGAGTCATAGCAAAATTCTCTGTTGGCATCTGTCGTAATGTGACTTGGAATGATGGTCAACAATACTTCGTTGATGCTGCCCTAGCTGAGTTGACTCCAGAAGAAGTTGATAGTTTAAGACAGAGTCAAACAGCTGAAATGATTGGAACAGCAGATCATCCAAGTGGGGAATGTAGTTCAAGACTCAAAGCCAAGGGGGAACTGTGCAAGAGCGGCCGAACCACAGGATTCACAAACTTTGGTCGTCATGTGCAACCATCTGTTTTTCTCCGTGCTTCTTTTGGTAAAGTGAATGACCAAAATGATGCTTTGTTCAGTGTTCTTAAAAGAGTCAAACTCTGTCAAAATTGTAAGGAAAGATCTGGAATCCAAGAGGAATTAGAGTCTACTACCCCTCCTTGTGACTCTTGTGAAAAAGACATAGCCACTCTATGTGACAGTCTTTGGTGGAAGAACTGCTTCTGCATAGACTATATGTTTCATTTTGGTGTGGATAAATTTTTTGCCACGGAAGGAGATTCTGGAGCAGTACTCTTTGAAAGAAATGAAAATGGAAATCTTCAAGCTTTTGGCATTATCTTTGGCGAGCTTCAATGTTCACATAAGCTATTCACTTTAGCCACACCAGTGCAAATTGCTCTTAAAAGCTTATCCAGCGAGATCTCCGAGAATACCAACTTGACACTGCTTTCAACCTATGAGTGACTACGGATGCAAATTGAAACTTTAATTGATGTAGATAGGCTTATTGTTGATCAAGGTTTGTACTCGTGGATGTTTTTTTTTTCAGTGGGGGAGGCGAAGTTACACCTTTCAAATGCGAGTGACCAATGCCGTCCCCACTTCAACAAACCGTCACCACAACTGTTTATATATATATATATATATACACGGAAGCACATTCTCCATTGTGCAAATTATATAACCTTATAGAATGGCTTCGACAAGGCAACAGAGATATACAAGGAGAAACCAGAATCGACACTACATTCAAATCAAAGGAACAGCCATGGGAACCAGAGTCGCTCCCAACTTTGCAAACGTATACATGGGTAGACTTGAAGAAAGATTCGTGTACCAAACAGAGTGGATGGACCATATCATACTCTGGGTACGCTTTATAGATGATATATTCCTTATCTGGAAAAGTGATAAAGATTCTTTGATTAATTTCATAAATTACCTTAACAGTGTAGCACCCTCAATCAAGTTTACACACGAAATCTCTGCACATTCAGTGAATTTCCTTGATACGACCGTTCTAAAGGACAATCAAGGCAACATCAGTACAGATGTTTATCAGAAACCAACTGATACTCATCCATACCTCCATTGGACATCAGCACATCCACCTCATCTGAAACGGAGCATCCCATACAGTCAAACCTTGAGGTTGAGGCGAATATGCTCTTCAACAGACACATTGAAGAAACGAATCCTGGAATATTCGGATTTCTTTGTAGCGTGTGGTTATGCACAACGCAAAGTTCTCCACGAAATGCAGAAAGTGCTAACATTGACTCAAGAGGAATGTTTACAGACCAAAGAACGTGAACCAACAGATCGAATTCCTCTGGTTACTACATTCAACCCCCATACCACATTTATTGCAGAAATTGCTAAACGAAATTGGAACTTTCTCAAATCAAAAGAAAGATTATCACTCATCTTCAACAAGCCACCTTTAGTAGCCTACCGACGACCGAAAAGTCTACGAGACAGACTTGTTCGTTCAAGATTTGTAAATGAAACACCTCAGAATTTGATACCAAAGGGATGTAGAACATGTGAAAGAACGAAGTGTAGTTGGTGTAAAAAGATCAACCAGACCACAACTTTCACCAGTCCCAATAACAACAAGACCTATACCATATTTCATACAGTGGACTGCCAATCGTCATGGATCATTTACATAATCGAGTGCAACATTTGCAAACTTCAATACATTGGCAAAAGCGAAACTACATTTAACCTACGGTTAAACAATCACAGAAACCATATTAAAAAGGGAGTGAGTAGCTGCGAACTCACGGAACACTTTTTACATAACAAACGAACTCACGACTTTAACAATAATGTTACCATAACCATTATAGAGCAAATCCGAAAAGATCATTTAGAGACTGACAAAAAGAAAGAAGTCCTTAGAGAAAGAGAGATTTTTTGGCAAAGAACATTAAACTCCTTTCAGCCATATGGACTAAACAAAAGAACTGGATAAAGCTTTTACGCGAAAACCTTTATAAAGTTTTAGGTACATAAATTGTTTATAACATACGTTATAAAGGTTTTAAAACTGTTAACCAATTAGAAACACTAATTGTTTACGAGAGATTTTACTCAGCATTTAATTAAGCAACATTTCCTAATTTTTCTTTTAGGCAGAGGTTGCATCTTTTACTGGAGCTGTTGTAGGGAGAGCTAGAACAACAACAAAGACGGCACGAGAACCAACAAAACATGCAACTGCCGACAAAAGAACAATTTCCCGCCCAACGGTAACTGCCTTCAATCTTCAGTCGTTTATCAAGCCACCGTCACACGGAACGACAACAACACCTCTGAAACATACATTGGACTCACAGAAACCGACTTCAAAACAAGACACAGAAATCACACCGCATCATTCCGCCACGCCAAGCACAAAAACTCCACCGACACTCAAGAACGACAACATTGACTATTCTATTTCATGGCGCGTCTTATCATTTAGCTCTCCCTACAACAGCTCCAGTAAAAGATGCAACCTCTGCCTAAAAGAAAATTCCTGATAATTTACCGACCTGACCTCTCATCACTAAATAAGCGTAACGAACTCGTATCTTCATGCTGACACAGAAACAAGGCGTTGCTACGCAACAGCTGAACTTTAAAGTTTTTAAGTTTACCGCGTATTATGTAAATTGTCCTAATATATACACGATAGTCACATGAATATTCTTTCATTAAACCCCTGAAGATTGAAGCGATTCACGAAACAGGCTAGTCGGGAAAATGTAGTGGCGTCCTTTTTTCCTCTTAAAATATTTATACATACATATATATATATATATATATATATATAGATAGATAGGAAGTCTGCAAGTCGATTCTCGCGTGGAACAGTGCTCAACACGTTAAAGCAGAGCAGAATAAATATTATGAGAGGAAAAAAGGACGCAACTACATTTCCCGACAAGCCTGAGGAGTGAAGCGATTCGCGAAACAGGCTTGTCGGGAAATGTAGTTGCGTCCTTTTTTCCTCTCATAATATTTATATATATACATATATAGGAAGAAGTAAAAAAATTACAATTAACATGAAGAATTCATTGAAGAAGAAGTTGACGTAGAATGTCATCAATCTTGCGCCTTCCCTTCTGCTCTCGAATCACGTTTTGATTTATATCTTCAAAAGTACAATAGATATAAAAATGGAAATTTCGAAAGATGATAGATCTTTCTGTTTATTTGGCAGATGTGAAATTTTCAGGAAATTTAAAAATATGCTTTTTTTCCTCCTATGATACCTTAATAACCTCGTAATTGTTTCATCTACCAGACATTTAGTGTAAATTGTTTCTTCCTGAGTTTATTGTCATACGACATTAGGTTGGTATGTTTTTCTTATGTGACGATTTGTTTCAAATGAAATGTTATTACGTACGAATATTTTAACTTTTGCGAAATCATTATACAAAAAAGTTGAACAAAACTTGCAAAGACGACTCATACCAGACTGTTCATATACTTCTCGCTCGGATTTTTCGGCGCCATAGGCGATTGCATAAAGCCTCAGTGTCCTAACCTTCCAGGTGTATACAGAAGTAACGATGCTGTTTGTGATAACCTTTTGTTACCCCTAAAAGTGACAAGCATCTAATTTCTCCTCGCTGTATCACCCCTCAAACACACCCTGATAAAGGTCACGAGAATAAAGGAAACGAATTCACCTCATCAACACCTTAGGAAATGTACAGAAAACAGTATGGAGAATATGCCTACTGATGTTGGGGTGTTAATTAAATACCATGGATGATCTTATGCTGTCACGTATTCAGTAATGAAACAAACATGGTCAATATATATAGTGCCAAGCCCTTTTCTTTACTACCCGGTCAATCTTCTCCTTGAGAGGACTTTGTATGTATGGACCAAGATTCTGTTCACAGGTTTAACCATTGCTTAATTTACTCAGAGACAGGGCTAACAAATTCTCTTTCGATGCAGAAATCTCACTGGAATTTGAATCATCGTCTGTGTAACTGATGTTTACTCACTCGTTCTTTTAAAATGGTGGTCGCTCCAAAACCAAATGAAATATTCCGTTCAGGGAATGGCAGAGATAATTCCTATCGTGTTTCTTGACTGCTTTCAAACTATGATTGACTAAAATTTGGGGATAAATAGTTGATCCAATACTAAATACTCTAAACTAACATTATAAGAATTGTATGGTTGACAGTAAGGAGAATTACAAATTTGATCTGGGAGTCAAAGTGTTAAAAACTGTAAATAACATAATCATAGACATGCAGCCATTAGTTGATGCTTTTGAGCAACAACACAAAAAAAGGTTTACTTGTGATTAATTATTGTGTTGTAGACTTCTTTATTATTGTATTAAAGTCATCACTTGTAAGATTTTATTCCAGTAGTTATGATAGTATTCAAGGTTTTCTTTGACTTGGTTTATTTGTATATGTAATCTGTATTACATTGCATATCATTTAATAACTGTTTCATTATGTGATTAAAATTAATTAATGAATATTTTTTTTATCCTCTTTGATACATTGTTTATCTTTTCAAAGAATGTCTTATTTTTTTATTTCTGGTTATCATTATGTCATACTTTTTGATAAGGTTGAAGATTATCTTATCAAGGAGGTATTTCCTGTAGTATATTGATTTTCTAACCATTTTATGTTTATTATCATGGAAGCTAAAGAATTATTGTATTGGATCATAACCATCCATTTGTTCACAATTAATTAATGCAAACAATCTCATGATCTCTGTTTTCCAGGCATCACAACATTTTATGTTTCTAACAGATTGTTCTTTTATTAGCTTATAAAAAAGTAGAGTTACCACTACAGGTGCTGTGGATGTTCATTAGTTGTCCCAAATATCATTATTTTTTGCCTATGATGGCTCTTAACCCTCTAACTCCCATGAGTGACCAAGATAGAATTTCCTCTTACAATATCAATACAATATCCACCAGATAAAGGATGAAAATAAAGAAAATTTCAATTTGAAGATAATTAGCTGATTCAATACTAAATTCTCTGAACTGATATAATAAGAATTGTATGGTTGACAGTAAGGAGAACTACAGATTTGATCTGGGAGTTAAAGAGTTAATGAATGGCATGAATTTTTGGCATTACAATACCTGTAATCCATATTTTGACGACGGTAATGTTTCCGCGCGGGGTTCTGGTGGCAGTTCTGCTTTGGCATTCGCGACTTCCATTTTAGCGCGTTTCCCTGTTTCAATAGGTAAATTGACGCCACTTTTTCTCGAGCCTTCTCCAACAGCTCCATGGTTTCGCCGACAGTCTTTTTGATTGATTTCAAACTATTCAGAAATTCTTCGTTCGCATCATGACTAAATTTGTGGCCAGATAAAATATGTCGTCCGTTTTAATCGAACAGCAGATTATCATCTTCAGTTACTTTCGCATTCAGCTCATCGATTTTGACCTTCGGCTTCGAAA